GTTATGTTTAAAAAATAATGTATATACCCTAACTGAAAAATACTTTATTGCTAAAAAATGCTGACCTTCATCTGAGCTAGTGGAAGGTCTTGCCTCGATGTTGATGGCTGCTGACTGATCAGGATGGTGGTGGCTGAAGTTTGGAGTGGCCGTGGTAATTTCTTAAAATGACAGCAATGAAATTTCCCACAGTGATTGACTCTTCCTTTCATGAATGATTTCTCTCTCACACGTGATGCTGAATGATAGCATTTTACCCCCACTAGAACTTCTTTCAAAATTGGAGTCAGCCCTCTCAAACCCTGACACTGCTTTATTAGCTAGGCATCTGTAATGTTCTAACTCCTTTGTTGTCATTTCAAACATCTCCACGCTAATAGATTCCATCTCAAGAAACCACTCTCTGCTCATCCACAGGAAGTGACTGCTCACCTGCTCAAGTTCCATCGGGAGATTGCAGCAGTCCCATCACACATCCAGGCTCCACCTGTGATTCTCGTTCTCTTGCCATTCCCACCACACGTGCAGTTATTTCCTCCACTGAAGTCTTGAGCCCCTCAAAGTTATCCGTAAGGGGTGGTATCAGCTTCTTCCGAACTCCTGTTAACGTTGATATTCTAACCTCTTCCCATGAATCACAAATGTTCTTAATGGCGTCTAGAATGGTGAATCCTGTCCAGAGGTTTTCAGTTACTTTGCTCACATCCATCAGTGGAATCACTGTGACAGCCATAGCCCTACAAAATATTTCTTTTTCTTTTTAAATTTATTTTTAGAGAGAGGGGAAAGGAGAGAGAGAAACATGATGTGCCAGAGAAACAGCAGTTGGTTGCGACCTGGCCCACAACCTGAACTGGCTGATAGACAATCCACTGAGCCACACCAGCCAGGGCACAAGATGTGTTTCTTAAATAATAAGATGTGAAAGTCAGAATTACTCCTTGGTTCCTGGGCTGCAGGGTGGCTCTGTTAGCAGGCATGAAAACAACACCAACCTCATTATACACCTACCTCCATCAGAGCTCTCGGTTGACCAGGTGCATTGTCAGTAGCAGTAATACTCTGAAAGGAGTGTTTTTTCCAGAGCAGTAGATCTCAGTAGTGGGCTTAAAGATTCAGTAAACTATGTTGTAAACAGATGTGTTGTCATCTAGGTCAGAGGTGTCAAACTCATTTTCACTGGGGGCCACATCAGCCTCGTGGTTACCTTCAAAGGGCCGAAATAATTTTAGGACTGTATAAATGTAACTACTTCTTAACTGTTAAGGAATTAAAATTACATTTGGCCCTTTGAAGGCAACCAGGAGGCTGATGTGGCCCCTGGTGGAAATGAATTTGATGCCCCAGATCTAGGCTTTGATGTTCCATTTATAGAGCACAGGTAGAGTTGATTTAGCATAATTCTTAAGGGCCCTAGGGTTTTTGGAATGGAATATGAGCACTGACTTTACCAGCTGCATTTGTCCCTAACAAGAGAGTCAGCCTGACCTTGAAGCCACGCCTTGTGTTCTGTTTTCCTTTCTGGCTATGAAAGTCCTAGATGGCAGCTTCTAATAAAAGGCTTCTTTGTCTACATTGACAATATGTTATTTAGTATTGCTGCCTTCATTGTCTTAGCTAGGTCTTCCGGCTAACTTGCAGCAGCTCCTACATCAGTATTTAATGCTCTACCTTGTCCCCCTTTTTTTTAGATTTTTATTTTTAGAGAGGGGGGAAAGGAGGGAGAAAAACATGGGTTAGTTGTCTCTCACATACCCGCAGCAGGGGGCCTGGCCTGCAACCCAGGCATGTGCCCTGACTTGGAATGAAACCAGTGACCTTTCAGTTTGCAGGCCGACACAAACCACATCAGCTAGGGCCACCTTGAAATTTTATGTTGTGGAGATGCCTTCTTAAACCTCATGAACCAGCAGCCTCTGCTAGCTTCCAATTTTCCTTCTGCAGTTTCCTCACCTCTCTCAGCCTTCATAGAATTGAAGAGTTAGGGCCTTGCTCTGGATTAGGCTTTGGCTTCAGGGAATGTTGTGGCTGGTTTGACCTTATCCAGACAACTTAAAACATTCTTCATATCAGTAATAAGGCTATTTTGCTTTCTTATCATATGTGTCTTCACTGGAATAGCACTTCTAATTTCCTTCAATAACTTTTCCTTTTCATTCACGGCTTGGCTAACTGGCACAAGAGGCCTAGCTTTCAGCCTATCTTGGCTTTTGATATGCCTTCCTCACTACGTTCAGTCATTTCTAGCTTTTAATTTAAAGTAGGACTTTCTTTCACTTGAAAACTTAGAGGCCGTTGTAGGGTTATTAATTGGCCTAATTTCAATTATTGTTGTGTCTCAGGGAACAGGGAGGCCCAAGGAGAGATGGGAGTGCCTGGTTGGTAGAGCAGCTGGACCACATTCAGTATTTATCCATTATATTCATTGTCTTGTATGAGAGCTGGTCATGACATACCAAAACCATTAAAATAGTAACATGAAAGATCACTGATCACCATAACAAATACAATAATAATGGAAAAGTTTGAAATGCCACTAGAATTACCAAAATGTGATACAGAGACACAGTGAGCAAAAGCTTTTGGAAAAATCGCACCTATAGGCTTGGCTAGGTGCAGGGTTGCCACAGACCATCAATTTGTGGGAAAAAAACAAAACAAACAACCCCCCCCAAAAAAAAACTTGCAATATCTGTGAAGTACAATTAGGTGCAGTGCAGTTAAACAAGGTATGCCCAAACCATTTAGGTAATTTTTAAAGAGATGCAGAATAATGTCATGTTTTACTTTTTTATACATTCATATGTAGTAATAGCTTAAAAACATGCATGGCAGTCAATGCACCTAATTTAGGATATATTTATCTACAAGAAGAAAAGAGGAACATACAGATCAGGTAGTGAGTGATAAGAACCTTTAACTATACATATAATATATAGAGGGGGAAAAGGAAATAAGGCTGAATGCTAATATTTGGTGAAGTCAGGTTGTGTGTGTACTTTCATGTTTGAAATATTGAATGGAAGATCTGATGGGTGAGATAACAGTGCATCGAGTGTGGCAAAGTGGAACTGTATTGGTATATTTTTGTAGTAGAATTAATTGGTTTTATAAGTAATGATTTGGGTGTGGGAAGTAAGGGAGAGACCATGTTAAGGATAAGCCCAGATTTGGGGCCTGAGAAACTGTTTGGAGATGGTGTGCCATTTATGAGAGAACACTAAAACTGCAGTAGGAACAGGTTTAGGAAAAGATGGTACATGTCGCTTTGGTTAAAGGGAATGATAGATGTAAGGTAGGTGGTTAAGTAACTGAATTTAAGATCAAAAAACGATTTAGAGCCCTGGCTAGTGTGGCTCAGTGGATTGAGTGTTGGCCTGCAAACCAAAGGGTCACGGGTTTGATTCTTAGGACACATGCCTGGGTTGCAGGCCAGGGCCCCGGTTGGGAGTGCATAAGAGGCAACCACACATTGATGTTCTCTCCCTCTCTGTCTTCTTCCCTTCCCCTCTCTAGAAATAAATAAATAAAATCTTTTAAAAAAAATATTTAGACTAGAGATATAAATTTAGGAACCATGGCATATCTTTGGTATTGAAAGCCTTGAGAATAGATAAGATTATCCAGGAAATACATACACATACACACAGTGGGGCAACGTAGGTTTACAGTTGTCATACAAATCAGTAACACAACACTTAATAAATAATAATATGAGAATAAACTTTTGTGTACTTACAACATTACATCTACTTTTGCCCACATCTCTATGTGGTGAAAAGGAAGGGGGTCCAAGCCCTTTTCCCTAGAAACTGGGCAGAGGAGAGGTCAGCCAAAGTTACAAGGTAAGTAAGGAGTGGCTAGAAAACCAGGACAGTGGAGTGTCATGGAAGCCAAGATAAATTCGTGTTTCAAGTGGATGAAGTCCATTGGCAGATGCTGGAAGAGCTGCAAAAACCAGTGATCTGTACCTGAAATTACCTTAACTTTTGTCTGTGTTTGTCTCCACACACTTGCACGTGGCCTTTTTGAAGCAGGACTGTCCTGTCTGAGTCAGGAGTGTGTCTGGTATGTAATAGGCACCCAAGTATTTGTTGATGGATTGATTTATCGGATACTGTGAGAGCTAGTTATTTTCTGCTGCTGCCCTTCAATGTTGAAGAACACAAGTAGAGAGATGGTTATATTGTGGGATTCATTCTGATAGTATTTTCATGGCAAGGGTAAAGAAAATTGTATGTTGGAAAGCCATCAGAAAAGAGAGTTAAAAATAGTCTTATGTTAGATCCTGTAAGAGTTCATACTTGGCCTGGGCTGCCATGCACCTGCCTTTCCAGGACATGTTGTTAGAGCATCTGCAATAGACGCTCCATTGTTTTGTGTGATACAGGGGGATTGTGTGATTTTTTGAGAAACAAGTTGTTAAACCTTGAGTATTAGGAGTTTCGTATGTTTGTAAGTTTAGAATGTTTGTATTTGATGCCGTGGTGGGGGATACACAACAAATAAGATGTGATACACAACCAAAGAGCTTTTTCTTCAGTAGTGGTTAGTACATGGTAACATTAGTTAACGTCCTAAATTTACTGTGTGATGGTTACTCCTCTAAGCCCTTTAGAAGTATTTATTTTTTCATCCACAACCCACTAAAGTAGGTATTATTATTACTGACCTAATTTTATAAATTAATGAAATTGAGACCCAGAGGAATAAAGTTCATGGCCAATAGGTGGCAGAGCCAGAATTTGAACCCAGGAATTCTGACATTGTCTCTCCACAGCACACTCAGTGTTTGAGACTGAATGCTGTTCAGAGGTCACTTCCTTAGAGAAACCTCTCCTGGTGACTGCGTGCCCTGACCCCTCCCCCAGTCATTCCAGCCATGTATAATAGAATTTTGAATACTCATCTGTTAGAATAAAGCTTGTCTAATTTTTATAGTGTATACAATGTATCTTTTTTTACTGGAAAGGTTGGTCATGATGCTCTTTATCTTCTAGTGAAAGGCAGAGAACAAGATAAGACCTCAGATGCCAAGACAGTTAAAGGTGAGTTGAGCAGCATTCCACTGTATTAAAAAGTGATGTGCTTTGTACTTATGAGCTTTTTAATCCTGTTATCTTCTCCCTTCTTTTGCCATTAATCATTTCTTCCTTTTCTTAGAATTATTTATGATTGACTTATTTCCATTTAACTTTTATATGCTCTTCAACACCTGGCATATGGTAGGCTTTTTTACTAAGCATCCGTTGGCTTTCCTAGTAATTACAGTGAACCAGTGCCTTTCTTACTAATCACGTATTTGATTGTTCCTGGTGATTAGTTGACTTTATTTATTTTTTAAAAACCATGAAAAGTACTGTTAACTTATAGATGAATGATGGCACTGCCAGCACAGGTTGTTTTTCTGTTTTTCCAAAAGTATGGGTGGTTACAGTTTGCACTTCATTACTTTGGATGAATGGCTTTAATTTAAAATTTACTCTGAGTACTTTATTGGAATCAATGTATTGTCCCTATTCATAAGACTTTCTTGAGTTGTACTCTCTGCTGTAGTTTTGATTGATTTCATTCTGTCAGTGTGTAAAGATTAGAATGGGAAATTGATAATGGAAGTTATTTCCATAGCTATTATGTATAAATTTTATAAATGGAATTTATTTACATGAAATCTGTGGATTGCTACTTATTTATATTTTTTCTTTCAAATGTTTATATGTTGTGTGACTAGCATTGAATATTAAGTCTATATGCTCAGTTTGCCAGAGCAACTAATTATAACTTGTTTGAGATTTGTAAGATGATTTCCTGCTTATTTCTAATAATTAAAAGCCAGTCGAATTCCATGTTAGGTATACTACCCTCTAACATGATTGGCGTTGATAGAGGCTAAAAGCCCTTAGTAAGCAGAGCCTTGTGAAGACTAGATCTGGTTGTACTAGAAAGGAGACCCTTGGATGTCTGAGGCACACCACTCTTGTACACTAACAGTACAACTTTGAGTCATGGCACTGTCTTTAGAGTCTTTATTTGTAGAATGAAAGGATTGGCCTACCTAATTTCTAAATCTATACCAGGCTAAAAAAAAATTTCATGCTTGCACTCTGTTTATGACAGTAAACAATCCGTGCTTAGCATTCCTAACTTAATTGAAAAAAATCATTTGAAGATAGCTTCATTGCATAATTCTCCCAACTCTTATTGAATGACCAATAAATATAGATACCTGAAAACAGGTATAAATATTCATGTTCTTAACTGCATTCTTTTATAAATACATCTCAAGGAGTAATAGATTAAATTACAGGTTTTAATCTGTAATTTTAGTTTTGTTCCTTGGGCAAGCAAGGGTTAAGGAATGAAAAGCGCCCATTTTCAGAAAGGCTGCTGGCTTTGGTATTGTCTGTCCTCAGAGAACTTCTGGAAGAAAGATCTCTCTTTCACGTTTCCAGTATTTTGAGAGTTATAAATAATAATACGGCATTTCTTTCTACGTTTCTGCTGTTTAATTAATTTACCTTCCCCTTAAGTCTTGTTGAGTGTGCTCACTTTAGAGAAATGTTGCAGAACTTAATTCTTGAAGTTCTTTTTAAGCCCTCTTTTGAGACAGCTTAGAAACTGCCAATTTTTGTTTAATTTTTAACAATTTTTTGAAAAATTATAGCCTCAATATCCGTACATTCCCCACAAAAAAGCACTAAAAATCATGCCTTGCTGGAGGCTGCAGGACCAAGTCATGTTGCGATCAATGCCATTTCTGCCAACATGGACTCCTTTTCAAGTAGCAGGACAGCAACACTTAAGAAGCAGCCAAGCCACATGGAGGCCGCTCATTTTGGTGACTTGGGTAAGTGACAATTACTTTTTGTTAACTTACAAAGGAGGAAGGAGTTGAGTATATTATGTGAAACTCCTGCCAATGGATACTGAACTGTATAATTGGAAGGAGCTTTGAGAAAAGTGTATTTTAATTAAAATAGCAGCTGTAAGTGTAATGGAAGCACCATTTGTTCCTATAAATACAAAATATAAAGCACACCCAATAGAAAAATTGGCCATTTTCAGAAGAATGTATACATTGCCTGTGTGAAAAAGATGCCTCATTTCACTAATAATCAGGGAAATGCAAATTAAATAAAAAGTTAATATTCCCCCTAACACATTAGCACGTATTTCAAGTTTGAGGATTTGAGTGTTAATGTAGATGTAGAGAAATAGCCACTTCTTTTTAGTGGAACTGTATGTAAATTGTTGAAGAATTTTTAGAAGGCAATTTGGAAATATTTATCAAAATATATACAATCTAGTCCTCAGATACCTCACATATATTCATAAAGATATATACATGAGTATGTATAAGACTATTCACTGTAGTATTCTTGTGATAGGAAAAAATTAGGAACAGCATATAAATACCCATTAATAGAGAAGTGGGCAAATTTTGGTATACCCATACTCAGGAATACTTTGTAGACATTTAAATGTCTGATGAAGACATGGAGAAATGTCTAAGATATGTTAAAGTGAAAAAAGCAGGTTATATAGCAGTATATGTAGTAGCATCCCTGTTGTGTTAAAATAACTTACTATCCCCCCACCCAAAAAAGATATTCAGGAGATTTCTTACAACTGCACATGAACCAACTATATCTCAAAATTAAAAGTTTAGTTGAGAAAATTGTAAGTCTTGCAGGAGATCAGGATTTCCTGAAGTTCATGAAACTAATGTCTACAAAGATGGACTCGTTAACATTGACAAGAAAGTCAGCAAGGATGATGACATGTGAATTGCTTCAAAGAATCTGATTTGAATAGCAAAAGATTAAGAAAAGCCCTTTTGAAAAATTGATGAAGGCACGAAAGGGGACAAGGTCACGAAAAAAGGTCTTAGTGTGATAGCGCCATTTTTTCCACTTTCAGTTTATGCCCATTTTGCAGGGCTTCCAACAGCAAAATGTTGGGACAGAGCATTCAGAGATTCACAACCTCTGTGGTCCCTAGGAGCCACTATAAGGAAGGTCCAGGGAAGAATTTGCCATTTCCGGTGAAAAACAAGTGGTGGTTACTAGCTATGATGACTTTGTATTTTGGATCTGTATTTGCTGCACCATTCCTTATTGTAAGACACCAACTGCTTAAAAAATAAGGATGTTTTAGTTAATCCATGAAACAGATATGAAGAGGAGCATTTTAAGAGGTGCAGTTTCTTTGAAAAATGGATCAAGCTGTTGAACTCGACATACTAGTGTGTTTGTAAATAAACTTATGGCATGAATCCTTAATGCCTCTTCTCTGAAATATAAAATGTGATAATGAAAAAAAAATTGATGAAGCCATCAGTCAATTTTATGAAAATGAACCTCTTTATGTTATCCTGTGACAGTTAAAGATTTAATTTTTTTCTAATAGCTGTGGTTATTATTTAAATTTAATTAAATATAAAATAAACTTGTTTTTATTAAGTTTAGTTTTATTTTTAAAGATAAAATTTTAGAGCTACTCTTTATTCTGTTTTAAATAATGCTGAGAGTTCATAACACTTTTCTAGTATATCTACACATCCACAATTGTTCCTTAGGGTTAGTTCCTAGAAGTGGAGTTATTGGATTGACAGTCATTAATATTGCTAAGGTTTCTTATCTGTTACTGAATGCTCCTCCAAAAAGGTTTTGCCAGTTTATAGTCTCATCATCAGTGTCTGAGAATGCTTCATGTTTTGTTGTACACTTGTTAGTGCTTGTTATTGATTTTTGAAAAAATATCTTTAATTTGACAGGCAAAAGTGTTATCTTGTATTAATTTGCTTTCCTGGGATTTTTAATGAGGTAGAATATTTTTTAAAAATTTTACTAGCCTTTTTTTTCTTGCTTGGGACTAGTATCATAAGATTTTTTTAAAAGGATTTAAATGATCTGAATTGCCATTAAAAGAAATGTAAGGATTATTTGTATAACATAGAACTTTTTAATAATTTTAAAAGGTTTTGGACAGTTGTTTCTTTGCTTGTATAGAAACCAAAACCATACTATTTCTAGTTTTTTATTCATTTACATTGGTAAGAAGTAAACTTATGAAGAACTTTGATGCTAAAGGTAAATGACTAACTTGTCATTTACCTATTTGTTACTGAACTGCTAAAATTCTTTTGCTTTTTTTAGGCAGGTCTTGTCTGGACTACCAGATTCAAGAGGCCAAATCAAGCCTTTCAAAGACCCTTGAACAAGTGTTGCATGACACTGTTGTCCTCCCTTACTTTATTCAATTCATGGAACTGCGGAGAATGGAGCATTTGGTGAAGTTTTGGTTAGAAGCTGAAAGTTTTCACTCCACGACGTGGTCCCGAATAAGAGCACACAGTCTGAACACAGTGAAGCAGAGCTCATTGGCTGAGCCGGTCTCTCCATCTAAAAAGCAAGAAACTGCAACATCTTTTGTAACTGAGTCTCTTGACAAGGGATTAGAGGATTCTAGCTCAGCCCAGTTGCTTATGACTCAATCAGAAGGAACTGATCTAAATTATAGAACTAGCAACACTGAGAATCACTTGCTTCTTTCCCAGAAATGTGACAGTGCCCATTCTTTCCACCTTGAAATGGCCAGAAGAGAAGCTCAGGAAGTTTCCGTGGAAACCCAAGAATCCTCCCCAAGACTTAAAGTAGCCAGGACAAATAGTCTCTCTTCTCCACTAAAGGAATTATCAGGAAAACTAATGAAAAGTAAGTATGTGATTTCCATCTGTCTCTTTATTCTGGTTTTGTTTTGTTTGTTTTTTAGCAATGTACAAAATGGAACTTGAGACAAGGAATAAAAGGGATGGAATAGTTTTTTTCTCCCATATCAACTTTCATATTCGGGAGGATTTGGCAAATGCCCTGGAATAGGATCAGTGTATAGGAGAGGAGCCAAAGGGATATCTATAGTGATTGGATCCTCTAAGGAGAATGTTAGCAGAGTTAAGAAGTTAAGGGTCAACTACCATCCTGCTTTTTCCTTTTACAGATTTTGAAATCAAAGCATTATCCAGATAGGCTTAGTCCATCCTGTCTGCCTTAATTTTATTACAGCCTGACTGTACTTTACAGATAAATTTATTTTTTAATTGCTAGAGGGTGACATTTATTGAGTTCTGTGCTAAGGGCTATACTTAGATTTCATTTACTAGTAACAACACTTCTGTGAGGTAGGCATTATTATCCTGTTTTACATGAGAAAACCATGGCTTAGAAAGGTTAAGTAAGTTGAGGTAGGCTATATAGTAAGTGGGGAGCTAGAATATAGCCAGACCTGGGACAATAACACCTTTCTTTTTTAATTCTCTATTTGGAAATTATGCACTCATTTTTTAATTATCACCTTCTGGAATTCTAATTAGACAGCCTCTGTTTGTTGTCTTATTTGTTCCTGGTTTCTCAAAGGGCTAGATGATTTTCTTTTTGTTCTTGTTCACTTTTTTCTTTTTCTATTAAGATTTTTTTTAGAGTAGTTTAAAATTCACAGCAAAACTGTGGGGTAGGAACAGACTTCCCATACACTGCCTAGGCATTATTTTGGTTCAATCTTCTGAACCAAATGTTTCGAGCATTTTTTGAGCCCTGAGCAACAGCCCTTGAAACTGCAAGCTCTAAGTCTCTTGAACTTGGTGGTTTTTCTCAGGTGAATACCCTTCCTGTCTTACACTTTTACTCTTGATTTACACTAGCTTCTATGGGTCCACAATTCCTTACCTACAATTCAGAAATCCATCAAATGTCAACTGCTACCAGTTATTTTTAAAGTCAATGAAACTTGCCCTGAACCAGTATGAACTGGTATTATTGCAGAAATATGAATATGTTTGAATATGAGGTGTACTGTCCACGTGCTGCTGGGGTATATGTTAATACAGTGTGTGACCTTTGTAAACACCCTCCCCCCAGTTCTGAATTCTAAAAGATTACCAGCTCCAGAGGTTTCAGATAAGGGAAGCAGCCTGTACTTGTTTCTGCCTCTCATTTCCTGTACTTTACCACAAGCTCTGATACACTTTCTAAAAGCATTTCAGGAGAATTTAGTGTTGGGAAGAGTTTTGTTGAGCATCTAGCCTATGCTGTTTCTAGAAATGGAGATCCAGAGTCTGTTTCTATAATTGTAATATCCTTTATTGTTTTTTGGAAACTGTCTTTGTTTTGGTGGTACTTTATTTCAATAAAAAATAGAAATAGTAGTGGAGTTATTAAAAGTATTGTTTTTTCCTTTTTGCATTACCTTTAAAATTTATGTGCAGTTCAGTTGACCTTTTTGACTTATACTTGTATGAATTTTGACACATGCATAGAATCCTGTAACTGTTATCACAAGCAGGCTAAAGATCTGTTTTGCCACCTTTGTAGTTAAATCCCTCTGTATTCTAATACTTGAAGTCACTGATCCATTCTCATTCTCTAATTTTGCCTTTTCCAGCGTGTCATATAAGTGAATTTACGTAGTATATAGCTTTTTAGCCTGGTTTCTTTTACTCTGCATAATAGCTTTGAAGTTCATCTATGTAGCTTATATCAATAGTTCATTGCTTTTTATTGCTAAGTAGTATTCCACTGTATGGTGGTACTATCCATCCACCTATTGGAGGACATTTGGATATGTTCCAGTTTTGATGATTATGAATAAAGCTGTTATAAACATTTGTTTATAGGCTTTTGTATAGACAAAGTTTTTATATCTCTAGGGAGTAAATACCTTATGGGGGTGCTGGATTATGTGGTGTGTATTTAAGTATGTAAGAAACTCCCAGACTGTTTTGTAGAGTGTCTCTACCATTTTGCATTCTCACCAGCAGTGTGTGAATTCTATTTGCTTGTCTCTTTGCAAGCACTTAGTATAACTGGCTTTTTGTTTATCTGGGTGTTTTTAAGTCATTCTAACAGATGTGTAGTGGTATCTCATTATGGTTTTACTTTGCCTTTCCCTAATGGTTAATGATGTTGAATCATGTACATCTTTGCCATCTATATATGTTCTTTGGTGAATTGTTCAGGTCTCTCCCCATATTTTATTGGATTATTTTATTATTGTTGAATTTTGAGAATTCTTTATATGTTTTGGATATAAGACCTCGATTTTCAAATGTTTTCTGGTTTATAGCTTGATTTTTTTCATTCATTTAACAGCATCTTTCACAGAGCAAAAGAACTTCTGATTAAATTCAGTTTATCAGTTCTTCTTTTATGGATTGTACTTTTGGTGTCATACCTGAGAGCTCTTTGCCTAATCAAAGGTCATGAAGATTTTCTTCTATGTTTTCTTATGAAAATATTATGATTTTGTACTTTACATTTAGATATATGGTCTGTTTTGAATTAATGTAAGGTATGATGGTTAGGTCAAGTTTTTTGTTTTATTTTTGCATGAGGATACCTGATTATTCCAACACCACTAATTGAAAAGACTGCTCTTACTACATTGAATTGCCTTTGTACTTTGGTTGTCTTAGTATAGGTCTATTTCTGGACTCTGCTCTGTTCCATTGTATGTGTCTATTTCTTCACCAATGCCAACCCTGTGTAATTTTGAGACTTAGTTTAAGTCTTAAAATTGGGTAGTATGAGTCTTCCAACTGTGTTCTTTCTTTTTCAGATTGTTTTGTCTGTTCTAGTTTATTTTATTTTATTTTTAAAAAATATTTTATTTATTTATTTTTAGAGAGGGAAGGGAGGGGGGAGAGGGAGAGGGAGAGAGAGGGAGAGAGAAACATCAATGTGCGGTTGCTGGGGGTCATAGCCTGCAACCCAGGCGTGTACCCTGACTGGGACTCGAACCTGTGACACTTTGGTTCGCAGCCCACGCTTAATCCACTGAGCTACACCAGCCAGGGCTCGTTTATTTTATTTTAATATAAATTTCAGAATAATCTTATCTTTATCTATGAGAAACCCTGCTGGGATTTGTGTTGGAGTTACATTCAAGCAATAGGTCAGTTTGGGAAGAATTTAACTATGTTGGGTGTTATAATCCAGAGACATGGTGTGCCTCTTCATTTATTTAGCATTTTATAGCTTTTAGCATAAAGATTCTTTACATGTTTTGTCAGACTTAGATCTAAGTATTTTTTTCAGTGCTTTTGTGAATGGTATTTAAAAATTTTTTGTTTCTGATTTTTTTATGCTGGTTTATAGAAATATGACTGACTTTCATATGTTGACTGTCTATTCTGTGACCTTACTAAACTCACTGATTACTTTTGGGAGCTTTTTGGGTAGATTGCTTGGGATTTTCTACATAGATAATCATGTTATTTGTGGATAGAGACTGGATGGTTTCTTCCTTTCCTATCTGTTTTTTTTCCTTCTTGTCTTACTGCACTAGTTGATACTTCCTGTACCATATTGATTAGGAGTGGTGAGAACAGAGTCACTGTTAAGTATGAGATTAGCTATGAGGTTTTTGTAAATGCCCTTTATCAAGTAGATGAAATTCTCTTCTCTTAATTGTTTATTTAGGGCTGTTTGAATCTTGAATGGTATTGAATTTCGTCATATATAGTGTCATTTGATATAACCATGTGATTTTTTTTTTGTCTGTTAACAAAGCATTGACTTTAATTTTAATAAGCTTGCATCCTCATAGCAAGACACATTTGGTTGTGGTATATTATTCTTTTTATGTTGCTGGATTTGTTTTCCTAAGCATTTTTATTTCTAGGCTTATAATGCATGTTTGTCTTTAGTTTGCCTGTACTGCTTTTGTCTGGTTTTGGTGTCAGTGTGATGCTGGCCTCAAAAATGAGTTGGGAAAGTTTTCCACCTCTTTTGTTTTCCAAAAGAGATTGTGTAGAATTGGTATTAAATGTTTGGGCCCTGACTGGTGTGTCTCAGTGGATTGAGCACCAGCCTGAGAACCAAAGGTTCACCAGTTCTATTCCCAGTCAGGGGACATGCCTGGGTTGCAGACCAGGTCCCGGGAGATGGGGGTTTGTGAGGGGCAACCACACATTGATGTTTTTTTCCCTCTCTACTTCCCTTCCCTTCTCTCTAAAAATAAATAAACAAAATATTTACAAAATGTTTGGTAGAGTTTGCAAGAGCCTGGAATTTTGTTTTTCCAGAATGTTTTATGAATTCAGTTTCTTTAGTGTGTGTAAGATTGATCAGATTATCTTTTTTAGTGAATTTTAGTCATTTATGGAATTGTTTTCCATAAATGGGAAACATTATGGGATTTATGGAATTTAGTTTTTAAGGAATTGTTAATTTAATCAAATTCTTTAATATAGGTATGCAATTATCTACCATCACCTTAATATCTGTTTAATCTTGGGTGTACAGTGATATCCCTCTTTCATTCCTGATATTGGCAATTATGTCTTCTTTTTGTTTGTAAATGTGTGTAGGGATTTATTTGTCCTTTTCAAAGAGTCAGCTTTTGATTGACTTTTATCTGTTGTTTTTCTGTTTTCAGTTTAATAAATTTTATGCTCTGTATGTTTTTCCCTCCTGCTTGTTTTGGATTTATTTTATTCTTTTTGTAGTTTACTAAGGTGGAAAACTTAGATTACCCATTTGAGATCTTTTTTAAGATAAACATTTAATGCTATAAGTTTCCTTCTAACCACTGCTTTAGGTACATCCCACATATTTTGAACTGAGCAAAAGTTAAATGTCTAACTTCCCTTGGTTCTTACCCTTTTGCCCATGGATTATTTAGAAATATGTTGAGAGGATCCAAGATGGCGGCAAAGGAG